TTTCACAAACTCATATTGGATATTACATTTTCTTAGCAAGAGTTAAGTTATATGTTAAGTAAGTTTTCCCCGTTATTGATGTTATTAATATTGTAAGTAGCTTAGAGCTGAATTAAGTTTCAGTTTGAGCTTTGTTAAAATAGCTTTGGATTAAATGATACTTCAAAAAATAAATTTAGTGTTTGTTTATTGTTTTTATTGTGCTAAAATGCGTCGTAACAAAGAGGATAGTTTTAGCACAATTAAGACATTTTAATATTCAAAGAATATTTTCACAATTCAAAATTAAGATTATTCAGCTTTGTTAATTCTTATATTAAGAGAATATTAAATTAATATTTTTCAGTTACTTAACTTTTTAAACAAATTGTGAAATTTTAGAATAATCACGTTAAAAAATTCAACTGCTAATAGAAATCACGTCAACTAAAATGCTGCTTTACTTGTATAACTGATGGTTATCCATAAAAAGTGAGGTAAAGTTTTATTTTGCTGTCTACTACCTATGTAAATTTTGTTCAATAACATTTTAAGCTAAAAAAATTTTGCCAAAATAAGAGCTTTATAAGTTTACTAGACATTTAATTGCTCGTTATTACGTAAACTAAGCAAACATCAGAAGATGCTAATTAATAAATTATAAAAGAATAGTAGATGATGAACTAAATTTACTGCAATAAATTAAATGTCAATGGGCTTAAATATTCCTTTGTTATCATTTTAAATATAACACATTTATTTTCAGATATACTTATTTCAATCATTCTTTTATATCAAATGTTTTCTAATAGGGATTTTCATCGCTGTTTCACTATTGACTTTTATTACTCTATGTTGTTTCTCTAAACAAACCCTATATGGAAATGTCTAAACTGATAATTTGATATATTTATTAATTTTCTTATGTTATATACAATTCCAAGCGGCAAATAAATATTTGAAATTAGAAAAAAAATGATTTCGAATAATTTAACTTTTGTATCATTTACCCACTATCGAAAATTAATTTCAATCTATTCATTATTTTTAAAACTTCTTTCTCACTAAGTATCAATACAAATTCTACTTTCTCACTAAGTATCAATACAAATTCTACTTTCTCACTAAGTATCAATACGAAAATTCACTAGGTATTAATAAAACTTTTTTTATACAAATAGAAATATTTTTTTACATAATTTATCTCAAACTTCAAAATTTTAACAATTTGTTTTAACCAAGTAAACCTCTGTAAAAACACACCAATTGCAATTTGTTGTTACATTTGTTAGATCTTCGTATGCAGTGAAATTTTAATTGAATCTGAATCACCCCCCACAAATTATTTTGTGTTATATTATTTATATCTGAATCTGAATATATTTTTTATTATATTTTTCAGGTTTAATATAGATATGAAGAAATAAACGAATGCAGTTTCATAATCAGTAGATGCGGTGATATTTCATTAAAGTACTCTCATATTGCATGAATGAAATGAAACTGAAAATTTAAAAAAGAAAAAAAAAATGGTAGTATTGAATTTTTAGAGACGAGTATTTGGTAGTGTAGGGTGTTTGAATCAAAAACAAAAACATACATTTGAAATGCATTACTTTCTTCATATGTTCAAATCTGTTTAATTTGAAAACTCATTTACGCATTAATATCTAGTTTTATGAATAAATTGCAATATGCTTTGAAAACAATACGAATTTATGAAGAAAAAAAGTTAATAAAATCGTATCGATATGTGTAAAATGAGATATTTATTCCTTATAATTTTCCCTGGAAAAAATAAATAAAATGGGGTTCGTATTTAAAATAAATCCTGCAGATGCGTGACGCGAACCCAATGTTCGGGATTAAGATACCAAGCATAAAATATTTAATAAGATTGTTTGTTTTCACAGCGAAGAGGTGAAACTAGAAGTAAAGCTAGAAGCAAACAGGATTATTTTGGTGTGAGATGATGAAACCCACATTCCTCTTTCGACCACTCTAATTTTCTCTACGGGTGAAAATATTTAAAACATGCTTTAAGGAAATAGTAGGATATGCTTATGTTATAATTTTACTATCTAACAACTAGCTTTTTAATTGTAAATGGTTTTTAAACATGTTTTCAGCAAATGTACAAAAAATTGAAAATTTTCCATGTCAATATCTATTTATTTGAAAATTAGTTTAATGTGATGTATTTGCAATTTATTTTTATGATGTTTATTTCGTATTTTTTTTAAAAAAGGATTTTTTTTTAAATTTTAGGTATTACAGGCTAAGCTTAATAGTTTTACTATTACTAGTACTAAATTTATCTAGGGTAAAAAGCATTTTTCGCGTTAGTTAAAGACTTGATTTTAAAATAAATACTTAAATATTTCTGTTTTAAAAAGTTGCAATATTCTTTAATGGGTAAGTAAAAAATCACATATAACAACTATAAATGAATTTTCTGAAAACTACAATTGCATTTTTTAGATATTCCAATTCTATGCCATCAAAATAGGAAAAAGATTAGACATACAAAAACACTAACTGATACCTCCCCCCATCAGAGTTCGAAAATTATACTAAGAGTAATTTAAAATTTCAATTTTAATCGGGCATACATTTTTATCTTTACTCAACCCATCAGGCATGTTACTATTTCCTCAAAAATACCGTAAGATACCGACGACGCGCACACTTTTTAATCAAACTCGCCATGATGCCAGATGTTGTATACAAACGGTACTAAAAAGGTTAAAAAAAATAAAGAAATACTTAAAACTAAAAAGGTTCAAAAAGGTTAAAAAAAATAAAAAAAATACTTGCCGATGATACTCAATATTTCCGATATTAATGTTTTTTTTTTAATAATAATACACTGAATTTACTTCATTAATGTTTGTTCATGCTTAGCAATGAAACAATATTCCCAATATTTAGCATGCTTAATGCCTATCAAAAAATACCTACTTCTTTTATATTAATGCTTAATTTTTATGCTTAAGATTAAAGAAAAGTGTTGATATAATGTTATTTTTGTCTTTCCTTCTTTATAAATTATGCAGATCAATAATTAGTTAGATTAATGATAGGTATATTCATGTGGTTTTTGTTATTTCGGTAAACATTTACCAATCCTGATAACAATACTTCTTTTTAATTAATTATATTCTGCATTCTCTTCATCGTTGTGTATTAAGGTTTCGTATAAAATACCAATTTTACCTCTTTGCTATTAACGCTAAATGATTCAAAATTGTACTTAAAATAAAAATAAAAGTGTTGATATAATGCTGGTTATGTCATCTTTTTTCTGCAGATTATTAAATTGCTTATTTGGCTTAAAACAGAAATATAAGCTACATGCATATATTTTTGTCAAAATATATTTGTGAAAAATGTTTGGGTAAGTAAAAGTTTCTCTTGCTAACAAACTGGTTCATCAGAGCATACAAGCATTTTTGTGTCCTTTAAGACTTGATATAAATGAATATAAAAATGTAATAATCCTTAATATAAATGTATATAAAAATGTAATAATCCTTAATATAAATGTATATACAAATTCATGTAGAATATAGAAAATATTCCTTTTTATTTTGGACACAGCTCATGCGTGTTTAAGAAAGGGAAGCCAGTTCAAAACTTGTAATTAGGAGAATGGATGTACCTCAAAACGCGTGTTTAAAAAAATTGACACAGGACACGGAGAAAAAAATTATGGTAAAATAATTGTTCTGTATGGTATGGACTTTTATGGTAAAAAAAACAACATAAATCAGGTCAATAAAACCAAAATATACGGTATTTAAGCCATTTATTTGGTAATATTTACGTTCATGTAACGGTTTACCTGAAATTCTGGTTTTCCAAATTATATTTTTACCGCACATATAGTATAAAATTCAAAACCCGAAAGTAAGTTTAATTAAATAAGTGGATTTTTTGCCATGCTTCCAAGGTATTAAGATAAAATTACCATATTTTACTACTTTCACCAAATTTTATCATATATTATAGAACCATATTTTGTTCTTAACTTTACTAAGATCATTACCAAAGCAGTTCGGTAAAAATCGCCGAGATATTTGGGGTTCTTTTAGAACCAGGTTTTACCATATTATAACAACAAGTTTTACCATATTCTGTTAGTTTTGAACGTATTTTTTCTTAAGTGCAAGAATGAGTGTTTAAAAGAAAGGAAGGATCTTAAACTTCGCATTTTCAATGTTCAACCAAAACTTAACAACTAAATAAGGAACTTCGTAATAAGGAACTTTTCCTTACTTTTTAAAACACTAAGCATTATCCCCATAGAATGAAGTTTTGAACCTCGGGTCTTGGTGGCATTGTATATTACAGATACAGCACTAAACGATGAAGTAATGTTTAAAAATCTAATCAATTTTAATCTGTTCGTGGAACGTAAATTTAATTATGTTACTATAAGTTTATATTTTTTGAAATCTGTTGCGCGTGACATTTCTTAACACTCTGAATTCTAATTTCTGTTCTACAGTTCATCTTCATAATGTTCGCAATTCTGCGAAATGAAATAAGCGACATAAAATAATAAAAAAATAACGTTTTTTTATAGGTGTTAATATGACCCCTTTTGACTGTTTTAGGTATTTCAATAATTATTTATTTTACTAATGAACAGAAAAGCAAGGAATTTTGATATAGTATACTTAGAAACAATTTAGGAAAGGTAAAAAAAAGTTATTGTTGAATTAAATGTATCTTCAAAAATAACATGAGAAATGGCAAAAAACGACCAAAATGGCCCTTTTAGTGTTAAAAAAATAATTTCCATAGTAGAAATTAAAAAATGGGTTTAAAAGCGCTGTGTTAACCTAAATCCTCACTTTTATCGCGACTACTTTCGTAAACACGCATTTTGAGCAATGTCCAGAATAAAATTCGACGACCTTAAATTTAATATTCATTTGCGATGTCCAATGCTAATAAATATAATTTCAAGTAATTAAAGTAAAACACTAAGTATTTTTTTGTGTTTTTTTACTCACAATGCACTTCCATCTTCCAGCCGTCTTCAATGCCACTTCCGGGGATGAGAGGGTTCTCAGCTCGGCAAGTGACATAATGACCGTGGTCTTCTGGTGTGGGAGTAAAGGAAAATACACTGATTGTTGCATTACCCCCAGTGACCACTTCTTCTTGAGGATTTTTGAAGTTTGATCCTGCTTTTTTCCATGTCAGTACTGCTGGAGGTCGAGAGCCCTGACCCGAACATTTCAGTTGAACTCTTTCGCCTGATTTGAATGGCTGTCTGGGACCTTCTATCTTCACAACTAATGGTCGAACTGGAAAAAAAATGAACAAGAACAGTATTAAGGGAAAATTGTTTCATTATTACAGTTCAAATAACAAAAATTTTTATAGTTTACCGAATTCAAATATTTCTGCTGTATTGTTAAAAAAGTTCAAAATAGGTTAGCTCAACCAAATCCATCCAGAAGACAGATTCACAGACATAGATGGTCTGTTTCTTTTTTTTTCTTAAAGAATTAAACTATTTCCTTTATTGATACGCAAAAAATATTTTTTATTTTTTTTCGAAATTCATTAACTTATTTGAAAAAGAAAATATACTCGAACATATAAAAGTATATAAAAAAAGCGTAGATATTATAGTGTTTTAATTTTCAAGCCATTTTCTGTAATGTTAAAAAAGTTCGAAATATAGTAAGTTATTGCTCAACCAAAACCATATAGAAGCCAAATCTACTAACATAAATGGTCTTTTTTTCAAAAAAGAATTAATTTTCTTTATTGCTACGCAAAATATATTCAATTTTTTAGTAAATTTCTTTAATTCATTTGTAAAAGCATTGATACTCGAACTTATAAAAGTATATTAAAAAGTGTAGCCAATATAGTGTTTTTACTTTTCAAGCCATTTTTCTATTTTTCTAAAAAAATGCACAGTTTACAAAATACAGTGATATATATTTATACAGAATAGAACGATGTATTTACACAGAACCTAATGACCAATGATTAAATAGCATTTCATTAGTTTATTTATTTATTTATTTTACGTGGAGTTAAAGATATTTCTAGCAAAAAAAATCGCAAGCAAAATTACCAAAATATTAAACAACATATTTAAACAGTGTGTAAAATTTAATAAAATCAAAAATCTTTTTAAACATCTTAATTTTAAAAAAAAGTAAAGATTTTCTCCATTAAATAAATTTAACTAATGAAGTTTTACCGATTATCATAAACTCAAACAGCTACAATAATATGTATCTGTTAATAAAGCTAAGCAATTCACTAAAGCATAACAATCTACACGCCAAGTTACCAATTTAGTATTTCAGTCGATAAAGTGTCCAGACACCTTTACTTATTGCTAAAATGAATACATCTAATAACTAAAAGCTTTTCCACCAAATCGCTTCGGAATAAGCCGTTAACGTCGTTGAAGTTTCTGAACGCGTTATGTGATCGAAGAACAGCTAAGCTGGTATTTTGCGAGCGTTATTACAAGTAATTATTACGGACATTTTCTTCCATTCTTGGATCATTTAGCGTGACTCCCTCGGGGCTTTTCATTAAAACTCCTATGAACGTGTCTGGGCATGCTGATTGAGGCGAGGGCGCTCCTTATGAACTTTTGATAGATGGTATCATTATTTGCTGAATATTCAGTATATTTCTTTAGGAACACGAGTTATGCCGATAAAAATTAATTTATGAAGCTTAGTTAGGTTTCTGCGCTCGTCGACAATAACTATGCAGAGCATAATTGCTACGTATGACAAAAGAATTCAGAACAGAGTGTTTGACATTTTATTTTCTATCCCAGTAACATTTTGATATTTACTGGTAAAATCTGCTTATCTTTAATTTTGATATTAAAATGCGTTCTTTTACGTAATGAAATAAGATACTTCATGCGTCCCATAATAATTGTCAGTAATGAACAATTAGACCGAGAAGATTAAACAGAGACATTGCGTAATATAAGTATTATATATAATTACTGCTGATTGTGTAAAGCTGCACGAAAAATATATATGCAGCTAAAATTATTGCAGAGATTTTAGAATCGCAATATGTTTGAAAGGCTTAGAATGGCTTAAATTGAGCAAAATTTTTGCTTCAGAATCGCCAACGACTACGTCATTGACAGCAACGATTCTTCGTCTTCCTTATTTTTATTAAATATTGTATTAGATTTAAAGCACAAATACGGTTGATATGTATACACATGCAAATAGTTATATATATTTTTTGCATGTTCTATCCTGTAAAAAACCCAGGAAACTCTTCTGATAAATATTATCGTAAAATGTAGTTTTTTACAGTACTAACCATCATGATCTACCATAATATTTATTTCATTTTACAATCAGCTTTGAACAGGCAACCCAGTTCTGAGTTTAAGGCTCTCAATGTTGAACTCCGTAGCCTTTCCATTTCGAATCCAACCCAAAAGACAAGGGAACTCCTTGATCAATCACTTTCCTTCAATCTTGCCTTCATTGAGAACTTTTCCATGGAGCTAACCTGCAGTTGCGTTATGAGGAAAGGAAAATAACGAAAGCCTTCCACAGTGTTCCTGATTGCAAGGTGATTCTAACTCATGATCCGTCTGCTACAGAGGATAACTTACGTTAGCACAGTGGTCGGTGCGGGTCGGGAGAAGAATTCGATTCAACTATGGATTATTAGTATCCATTGTTGATAAGTGTCACTCTTACAGAAGGGGTACTACTCCTAATCTGTACAGAACTCTGAATAGAGAAACAACAGTGCATTCACTTTCAGTCTAAAAATTCTTCCTAAAATTTATATCGTACGTTGCTCTACTCTGAGCACATCTTGGTTAGACTTTAATAGCTCAGAAGAGAATTAGTGTTAGTGTTGATGTCGTTGGACATTAAGGCAAGGGGTGCAATTATTCCTGTCTTTTAGTGGCGCCATCTATGGCCTCGAATTTCATTCCTGCTAAACTCATACGTCACACCCGTTTATAGGATCGATCCATTCATTCACCCTCAGATCGTAATTTTGACCTAAATCAGATGACGATCTCCAATTCAGTACCTCTTGAGGTATAATTTGTTATGGGAACATAGAGTACTTTGCAACCTGAGAGATTTAACGTGTACCAGTCATTATTTACTACACGTGAGAAGTTGTTAATTAGTTATATAAAATCAATACGCGCATTTTACTTTACTTTAGTGCTCTGAATAGTGATGTGGCTATCACTATTGTGTTTCTGACGCAATGACAATTGTTCGTTTCTTATTTAGGTTACCTATATATTTCCATAAAAAACTTAAATTTAAACGTTCAATAGAAATCAAATTTAGATTGCTTGAATTTATTTGCATATTTTTCTAAAGTTAAAAATCTCTTAACTAATTATCTCCGCAAAACCATGTAATTTGAATACAAGATATATAATTCTGCCTGGTGAATTATCGTCCATGCAATATTGAATATTCAAGATGTTGTTATGCAAAATAAGAATAACATTCAACTGTGAATTAAAGTTATATCCTCTTTTCACTTTATTTTATTGCATAAAATGCTGTGTTTTTTTATATATATTTCGATAACAAATGTACAAATGGATTTGACAATAACACATTTGAAATAAATTAGCACAAAAATTCTTTTTAAATGCAATCTAATTTCCCAATTTAACACCAATGCAAAACATATTACATTTATATGAAATTACTTTCAAATAACTAATCAACTCTAAATTAAAATCATTACGAAAAAAAAAATTTAAAAGTTTATAAAAGTTCAGTCGACCATTAAAACCAAGCTTTTAAATAATGTATTTTTAAAGTAACTCAGCTAACGAGATGAACTTCAACAATTTACCCAACTAATATTTTCTCTTAAGTGATTTATATTCTTTATTATACAATTTACTCGCTCCGCCTACTTAACTTTAAAAACAAGAGAAAACCCATAAAAATAACCAAACGTAATTACGGATGTTACCCTTTAAGCGACCAAGCATTTTGTTATGTAATGCCTATCAACAGAGGAAAAAAGAGAAAAAATGTCATCATCATTACGCTACATAAGCAATTTTATTTTCTCATTATGGATTATTTCAATTTCTTTAACTGTCAGTCGGATTTATAAGCGAAAAAGAATGCACAGAATCGTTTATTTCTGAAGAAAAAAATTAAATTATTTTCTTTTCCCAAGGACAAGTATGCTAAATAAGAGAAATAACGAAAGATTTGAGTCTGAAGAGATGAATATGAAAATCAGCTAAATGTAAGAAAATAATGTTGTATTCTTTAGTTGGAGAGATATTTATTATTTCTATTCTCTGTATTTTGAAGAAAAGAATTATTCTGCTCTATGCATTACCATATTTACATTTTATACTGAAGTGCATTATCATTTAAATGTTGAAAGTATTTATTATTACTTTATTTAAGAGTCTTATATTTGATGTAGAGCTTTTCATATTCTAATACCCGTTTTTAAATTCTCTGAAAATGCATCAATTTATATTTTTTTTATATGAACATTGAAGGTAATTTCAATTTAAATAAAGATCTGTCAGTGGGAAAAATGAAAATATCGGTGGGTAAAGTAAAAATAAAAATATCGATTAAGTATATTCCGTTTTTTATATTTCTCATGACAATTAAGTAATATATGTATATTAATGAAAATAAAATTTTATTTGAATATATTATTTTGTTGTTGTACTTAAATTTTATTTAAAAAGGATTACATCTTCCTGTGAATCTGAAAACTTAATATTACATAATACAGGAATAAGTTTATGAAGATTAGATGAAAAAATGAGAAATTTAGTTCACAAATTCTAATATTTCGAGCGAAATATTTTCAGATATGCATATAACTGACTTTTCAATATCCTTTTATGAAAAAAAGTAATAATATTTCTTATAAAAACCTGTATATGGAATGATACTTCATAGATATAATTTTCAAGCTACACTGAGATAAAATTATTGTCAAAACCAGCAGAATATGGTAAAATTTATCGAGTTTCTACAAAATACTACTACATAATAAATGAGTTAAAATTTGCTATAAGTGGAAAATTTGGTAATTTTATCTTGAGAGCTTCAAGAATATCATAAAAATCTTTAACTCGGCGAAATTTATTTTTCAGTTTTGCATTTTTTGTTAGACGTTTAGTGAAAGGAACTATAACTTATTTAAAACTTGAATGTCCCGTATACCGTTACCATATGCAATTAAATTAATAGCATATAAATAGGCTGAAAATATGACAGAAAGTAGAAAAATAGTGCGAAGCATTTTTGGTGGAGTAAGT